ACTCACAACCTTGCGCTTGTCAGGCAGGCACTTATGCCACTGAGATATATCCCCACTCTTAGAAGATTTATTTGCTCCATTTTTTGGAGAGCAAACTGCAACATTAAAATGAATGTTTAATAAAATAGCTACCTTGAGATACATATCTTCTGGTCAACTGGAATTGAATTCAGCGCTTACATAGTTTTATATACCTATGAGTAAAGATTTTCAAGAACATAGTCATTTTTTTCTCGATATAGTTCACAATTGTACTAATTTTTTCTCACAAGAAATGTATTTTCTAAGCTGGGGATTTAGCTCAGCTGCACAGCGCCTTCCTGGCAAGCGCGAGGTCGTGAGTTCAATTCCCGGTACCGGAAAAAAAAAAAAAAAAAGTGTTTTTTGGTTTGTTTTTCCAAATAGGGTCTTGCCATATAGTTCAGGCTGGCCTTGAACTCGCTATGTAGCCCAGGATCTCCCAAGCTGTTAGGAAGGTCTTGGGATGGCATGAGAAAGCAGGACAAGGATAAGGGACAAGTATACATAGTAGAAACCTCCTGTCTTCAGCTCCCAGCTCCTCCCCAGATCCTCTGAGATTAAGACTACAGCATCCACAGCCTGCAGCAGCCAGCCTTGCCCAGGCAGTGGGGCCCCTCTGGACTTCTATAACCCTAGTTTAAACAAAGGCCTGAGGGATGCCTACCCAGTAGGCTGAGCCACCAGAGCTCTGGGGATCAGGGAAAACAAAGGGAGAGGGAAAGCAGAGTGCTGACAGGGCCATCGGCCATCAGCCTTAGGGCTATAAAGAGGCAGGCCACAGAGGAAGTGGCACCAGATGGAGACCCAGACTGTGCAGCGGGAGCTGGGTGAGTAAGACCCTGAGGGTTCCTTGGCCTTTGCCCTTACTCACCTTCCCTTGAAGAGACACATGCAGGAGAGGGCTCACTTTTCCTGCCTAGAAGTCAGAGCCTTTGAGGGTAGCTGCAAAAGAACGGAAGGCACCGGGGAAAGGCAGTCTACTCTTCCACCTATACGGCTGATGGGAAGCAGCAAGAAGTGAGTAGGCTTCTGGGTGCAGGGAGAAGGTACTGTGCCCAGGAGCAGGAAGACGTTGCTTATTCAGAGATTCGGAATAGAAAGAAATATCAGACTTCACATGCGTTAGTTCCTGGGCCTGATAGTAGTCAGAGGGAAGAGCCAGTTTTATCTCCTGGGAATGTCTATCCTGAATCAAGAAACGTGATATATAGCTGTCTCCTCTCTTCACTTTCTTTCTCTTCTCCCTTTTCCCTTTCCCCTTCCTCCTATCCATTACTCATCCTCCCATCTTTGCTGTCTGTGTAACCTCTATGACTCTCAACGTCCTCATTTGTAAAGTAGGAATAATGGTAGTACTTATTTGATAGGTTTGTTGTGAAGGTTAAACACATGTAAAGCATTTAGGACAGAGGATGACACAAAGTGAGCCACTTCTTTTCTTCTTCATATTCCTTTAATGATTCTTTTTCAACATTCCTCCTTTCCCATTCCAACATGGGTTTGGTATGGTGCTGTATCAAATACCCCACCGTCTCTGGCCCTGCCACTGACATGCTCACCCAGGATGTACTCAATAAGAACACAGATCGGTACATGATGAGTGTTAGAAATAAGGAAGAAAGTGGCTTCAGGGTGGAGAAAGCAGGAAAGTCATTGAGATGACAAAGTAGGTATAGGAGGTAGAAAAACAGAGAGGGAACACGGTAGTCTGGCCACACACTACAGCAGGCCAGTTTGAGAGCTGTGAGAAGGCAGGAAGAGTGAGACCTTGCAGAGTCAGAGCCGAGGCCTCCTTTGAGTGTGGGGTGTGTGGTGCGGATCCTGACACTGCTGGCCATGTGACCAGTCATGTGAGAGGGCCTGGATTAGGCAGCTTCCTAGGAGTTTATAGTATCTGAGATTAAGCAATGCTATCACCTGAAGGCAAGCAAGAAAATAGAAGCTCATTCAAGAGGTTACAATGCCTCTGCTGTGCTTTATTTTTTATTGTTATTTATTTATTTATTTTCTTTTTTTGGAGACAGGGTCTCACTATGCAGTTCAAACTGGCTTTGAGCTCACTTTGTAGCCCAGGCTGGTCATGAACTCGCAACGATCCTCCTGCCTCAGCCTCCCGAGTGCTGGGTTTACAGGCATGTGCCACCACTCCCGGCTTTGTGCAGTGCTTTACCTGCATTATTATTTCTAATCCTTATAACTGCACCTAGAAGCTTTACCAATGGAAAACCTGCCTCAGGTAGTGAGCAGCTGAGCCAGGATCTCAACCAAAGTTTGTCTGTCAGACTTCAAGCCTTTTTTCCTCTCCTTGTGTTCTCTCACCTCACCCCCATATCTCAGAAGCCATGCCACTAGTGTATGTTCTATCTTCCAGAAACCCTTCCAACCACCAAGATGGCTCAGACCAACCCTATGCCTGGATCCTTGGGACCATGGAAGGTAAGCCCACACCTATCACATGGAAAATCAAGGGGCCCAATAGGACAGGAATGAGGTGGGGCCACAGAGCAGCCACCAGGGATGTACTTGTTCACAAGACAGTGATTGACCAATAAAACACCAGTCTTTAGAGGAAGAATTCACCCAACATCCAGACATTGTTGAAGGAAGGATTACTCAGGATGCCCCATTTAGACAGGAAGGAAGAACTTGGAAGCCCATGATGGGTGAAGGGAGATGATACCCAGCTTCCTAGGTCAATTCTCCCTTACATTGCTAAAATCATCTTAAAACAGAGCAGCCTTGAGAGGATTATGCCTGTGGAGAAAATGAAGACAAATAAACAAAGAGAAATTTGCAGATGCCATGTGAGTCATAGGACCATAGGTTCACATTCAGCCTGAAGTTGAATTTAACCTTAGGCTAAAATAGCTGATTCTTTGGTCTGTCTCTGCTTCCCTAAAAGGCCCTATCATTCTCACTGGTCAACTCTGAAGCCAGTTCACAGCTTTTCGGGGGAGGGGGGCGGGCAAAAGCCAAGTTCTAGTTAAAGGGACTACAACCCTCCCTTTACACTTTAGGTGTTTATAATGTGTGACTAGAGAAGTAAAGAAATAATCCACAGGGAGCTTCTGGGAGTCCTAGAAGTCACACTTCCACAGGAAGCTTAGTGAAATGAGAGCCCCTTTGGTCTGTCCAGGGGGCTAGACATCATTCTTGGCAGATAATTTTTATTACAAAACCAATTCTCTCATGTCTGACCCCTAACCTTAACCTGAGCATGTGAACATCATCAACCAGTGGCATTAATTCAAAGTTCTTCTTACCCTGTCTACACTGAGACATCTCATCAGGCATCCTGGGCTCTATGGTGATGGAAAACACAGGGTAGACATAATTTAAGTGTTAAACTGGACTTGTGTTCTTGTTGTACCAGCTTCCAGCTTTCTTGCCCCCCTTCAATCTCATTTTAGATAACCATCTATGACCAGGAGAACTTCCAGGGCAAGAGGATGGAGTTCACCAGCTCCTGCCCAAATGTCTCTGAGCGCAGTTTTGATAATGTCCGGTCCCTCAAGGTGGAATGTGGCGCGTGAGTATTGACTTCAGCAGAACTGCAGGCCCCTTATTTCAGGTTCCTTCAGACACAGGAAAATATGCATAGAGTCAGGGGAAGAAATATGTTCCCCAGAAATTAATCATTTATTGGAGAGAGGCCTTTGGCATGGAGTAATCTCAATAGAAATTACTACATGCATAATTTAGGAAACAAAGGTAGGACCATGATGTTCTCAGCTGCCTGGTTCCAGATTTTTTTTTTTTTAGGGAGGAGGAATTAAAGAAATCTATATGATGCAATGGAGCAGTGACCCCATCAGACTTGTGCTGTTATCTAGGATTTCCTCAGAAGAGTTAGAGCATCCTTTTGTCTTGCTTGCCTACAGAAAATGAGAGAAGAAACTGTCAGGTAGCTACTTCTTTATAGCTAACTCTCTGCTCCTGAGTGCCCCCGAGCAGATGCTATTAATTTCTGCATATAGAAAGGAATTTAGCCGGGGATATAGCTCAGTGGTATAAGCGCTTGCCTGGCAAGCCTGAGGTCATGAGTTCGATTCCCGGGGGTGAAAAAAAAAAAAAAAAAAAGGAATTTAACCCCAAGACTCCAGAGACATATTAGTTCTAAGCCTTTCAAGTTTCTTCTTGATAGCCAATCTTGACAAAGGAGATCCTCTCACCTTTGTCTTCTAGTTCTTGGAAGGGTGGGCCAGGCCTTTGTCACAAACCTGAAACATAAAAAAAAAAACAAAACAAAACAAAAAAAAAACAAACCTGAAACATAAAAAGAGTGAACTAGGCAAAACTGGCAATTACATGTGGCCAGGCTTCCACAAGTTGCTTGCCATAAAATTGGAAACCTTCAGGCCTTTTAAAACAGGAAACACTTTTAATGTCACCAGTAACTGAGACCCAATTGTGAAAAATGAAGCTAGGATGTTTCAACAAATAAAGGTAGGGGGCAGCAGGAGAAAGAATTCATAAAGTGACAAGGAAAAGTTTTAGTCACTCAGCTGTCTATTCGCCCTTCTGCTTTTTTAGGAAGATGTCTATAGATTTGGCTGAAGCAAAAGCAAGTCAGTCACTAGATCATGAATTTGGGGACCATAAGTGCCTGCCTGGCAAGCATGAAGTCATGAGTTTGATTCCCGGTACCAAAAAAAAAAAAAAAAAAAAAAAAAAAAAAGAATTTGGAGCTCCAGATAAGAGAATAGGTGACTTGGAGGGAAATAGTTTTGGTAACACACATCATTGGGCCAGTGATGGAGACTTTTTCATGGGATAATCCCCAAATGCCATTTACAAAACTGCTTAGTGTAGCTGTCTGCCCATTTCCCACCTCTTGTGATATTTATTATTTTGTATAGCTCTGTTGGGGTTGGCCTGATTTTTACTGACTATAAACTAATCTAAAATGAATGTTGCCTTCTCCCTGAGACCATACAGACTTTGAATAGCATGCACAAACACACTACTTGTCTTTGGCAGCTGGATTGGCTATGAGCATACCAGTTTCTGTGGGCAGCAGTTTATACTGGAGAGAGGAGAATATCCTCGCTGGGATGCCTGGAGCGGAAGCAATGCCTACCACATTGAGCGTCTCATGTCCTTCCGCCCCATCTGTTCAGCTGTGAGTCTGAAATTTCCACTTCTGGGCAAGGGGATGGGGAAAGAGGGCACAGACTGAAAACCGGACTTCCCTTTGGTTATGCTGAGTATGGCAGGAAAGATAAAAGAAAGCAATAAGTGCTCCTTTTCTCAAAGTTGGCCATTTGATTTTCTTTACCAGATGGCATTTTCCTTAAGCTAAATTTAAGGGTTTTCTTACAGGTGGCAGGAAGCACATACTGCAGAACGAGAGAAAGCACTTACCATATAGTTTTATAAAAAGTAAATCTGTGACCAATCGAATTTCAACCTGTTAACTTTTTTACTGCAGAAACAGGAAAGCGCTTAACCTTTCATAAATGAGAATGAGTAAAGAAACAGGCAAGTCTTCTCTAATCTGCATTGATTCATAATAATCTTGTTTCTAACACTAAGTGTAAGAGGCTGCATTTAATCTTTGGAACAGTTTATGCAGAAGCAGGAAAATCTTCAAACGTGTTGAAAATTATTCCTATGTTGGGAATGAGGCCATACTACTTTCCAAACATTCAGTTCCTATCATGTAATTTTTCTCATTTTAATTAATGACTTCACCTTTGTTCAAAGTGATACTAAAACTCAGCCAGTGGAAGTTAGCATAAATGGCTCTAAATCTTTAAAATATTCCTTTATTTTGACATTTCATCTTTTTCCCCACTTCACTTTTTCCTGAAAGTATAACTGACATACAATAAAATGCACATGTCCTAAGTGTACACTAGCATGAGACTTGGAAAACATATACACCTGTGTATCTAACCCTAACCCTACAGAACAATTCTATCACTTTATGAAAATTTCCCAGTACTCTTTCCCAGTTAACTGCTCCATCACTATCAAGTTTTGCCTATTACTGAACTTTATGCAATTAGTCTCTGCCTTTTTAATGCTTGTGTCATATTCACATTCCCTACTGGATGTCCAACGAACACACATATTGGCACTGCTTGGTGAGATCTTTTTTATAGTGGGTATTAATCTCTTGGTTGGCTGTTGCAAGCTTTCCCACTGTCACACATACTCACTGCTCTGAAGAATTTTTTGTCTGGACAGAGTTTTGTCTTGTCTTTTCGAGACAGGGTCTCGCTATGCAGTTCAGGCTGGTCTTGAGCTTGCCACGATCCTCCTTCCTCAGCCTCCCGAGTGCTGGGATCACAGGCCTGCACTACCACGCCCAGCTTTTTTTTTTTTTCTTTGCGGTACTGGGAATCGAACTCACGACCTTGCGCTTGCCAGGCAGGCACTTATGCCACTGAGCTATATCCCCAGCCCCCCACACCCAGCTTTGGACACGGTTTTACTAAGCAGTTCAAGCTGGCCTTGCACTCACTTTGTAACTGAGGCTGGCCTTGAACTCTCAGAGATCCTGCTGACTGCTAGAATGACAGGCACGCATCACCAGACCCAGCCCTTACTCTGAAGTATGATGTGTTATTTGTACATTTTAATATTTTAGCCTATGTGCTGAAGTGAGCACATCTGTACATTTTAAATGTTGTTCACGGTTGAATTAAAATATGGGCATGATCAAGTACCTTTTCGCAAACCAAAAGCTTTTGATACTGAAAAATAAAGTTATGAGTTGTAACACTAGCACTAATGGATTTGTTTCTGGATTACAGAATCATAAAGAGTCTAAGATAACCATCTTTGAAAAAGAGAACTTTATTGGACGCCAGTGGGAGATCTGTGATGACTACCCCTCCTTGCAAGCCATGGGTTGGTTCAATAATGAAGTTGGTTCCATGAAGATACAATGTGGGGCGTGAGTACAATGCTATACATTTCAAAAGTTAATTCCTGAACATGTAAGCTTTGTGAACATTAGTGGCCATATTTTATTAAGAGTTCATTCACTGGCATATTGGTAGGGATGGCACATTTTAGTTATTTTGAATTCCTTTATTTGTACCAGCTGTTAACACCCCCCACACACACTGCTCCTCTCCTAAGCGTTTACGTTGACTAGTAAATCTTTCCACTGATCAAGGTTAATCTTTTAATTAGTTGTAGCCATATTCTGTTCACAGTGCCTCACACATCCATGGCTAGTTTTCTAAGCCTAAAAACACCACTTCCTTGAGAGGCTCAGGTTTTAGGGTGTTTGCTAGGTTCCTAATACAGGAGTTTTAATAATGCAATATGCTTTTAATTTCCTAGCTGGGTTTGCTACCAGTACCCTGGATATCGTGGTTATCAGTACATCCTGGAATGCGACCATCATGGAGGAGACTATAAACACTGGAGAGAGTGGGGTTCTCATGCTCAGACTTCCCAGATCCAATCTATTCGCCGTATCCAACAGTAGTGGATTAAAACCTCCAATAAGAGAATTCCTCAAGCATGAGACCTTGCTAAGCACTCTAGAGTTTTATGTTCTGCTCAGATACTGCTTCCAAATGTTAGCTGCTAAAATCCACAATAAATGTCATTTAAAAACAAAAAACTTTGTAGACTGAATTAACTACCATTCTTTACACAAATCACACTTAAGTGGCTGAGAATTTTTAAAGATAAACTTCAATAAAACACAAATTCCTTTTGTGTCCTTCCAAGTCAGTTCGTAGGCCAAGGGTATTTCTTTTCTCATAATGCACATAAGGCACATATTATCAGTCTCAATAGTGACTCGCCCATTTTCTCCCCAACCCCTACTCTAACATTGCCTTCAGCATTTTTTTTTAGCTTGTGACAAGCTGACTTTCTATAATTTGTGCTAAACAGGAAGTCTAATGTATATTACCACATATTTCTTTAACAAGTTATGAATAAATCCAGAATCTTGGCAGCTTAATATTCTAGTTGCTCAATTTTGGTCTATTTCAAACAGAAGCATATACAGCTCAATGTCCTCAAAAAGGCCAAACAGCTGTTCTCACAGCTGATTTTCTTTTCAATAAACACGCTAACTCCAAGCACAAACCTGTATGATTAAAAAAAAAACAGGAAGACATTAAAAAGATATAAGAACACAGTACATTTAGGATGTAAATTCTTTGTATACTTCACCCTTGGGGAGAACCATTATTAGTGTTACAATCTTAACTAAGTTTTTAGTAATTTTTTTTAAAAATTAAAGCACACAAAAATAACACAAACACCTCAAATTTTAAAATTTTTTATTCAACAATGTACACTTGTCTCAATTTGATCTACAAATCTCTTGGATTTTTTATTCTGATAAAATAAGTAAATCTGAGTATGGTTGTAAAGTGTTTGTAATTTTTATTTTTAAAACACTGAACATTAAGACATCAGTAAAGGAAGATCATTACGTGACACTTCCTCAGAATCCATGACATCTGAAACAGCTATAGCAAATACCTAAGCATTTAAGCAAAGGGGTAAATTTCTGGTCACGGTTCTTATATCTAAAGACCTATCTTTTTTGCTGGGCAAAATAAACATTGAAAAAAAAAATTCTGAGAGGAGAAAGGGAAAATATCTAACATAACTGTAATCAACTAATTATCCTTTCCCCCAAATTAAGAGGTAACTCACCTCTTAAGTGCCTATGCACATCAAAAATCACTTTGCTCCTCCAACATGTTCTAAGACTGAACGTAAGTGAATGACTGACTGACAGACGCTGAAAAGTAGCCAAAGCCATCTAAGATGATGCTTGCTACACTTCCTTCATTTCTACCCTTTAATGCCATGCATTGAGTCACCTTTCAAATCTTGACTAGTATACTTATTAATTGCCACTATCACTGAGAATACATACAGAAGGAGGGTTTTCTGCGTTTTCCAAGTTAACATTTATCAGTGCAGGTCTGATGATAGTCACCCTCTTCTATACACAGGAAAAGCTATAAGACAGAAGGATTTCTTTTTTACCTAGGCGCATGGGGAAAACACTATTAGTAGTAACTTCTACTTAAACTCATAGCCTCTTCCACAAAGGTCCTGAGGAAATTACAGAAAAATCTTGTTAAAGATGACTTTGTAAGACCTGGCTAGGACATGTACACAACCTTAAGCACACATACATGTGAAATAAAGCTATTTAGTTCATGCAAACTGCAATGTTTGAATCAAATATGCCCAATTTCTAAACTTTTTCTTAAATCAGCTTGGGCAATTTTTATAAAAGATACACATTATCTCTGAAACAATCTGTGCTTTGATCTTTAAACAACTGATTCTTAGACTAATCATTTAATGAACTAAATTTATGATAAAGCAATCAATACAAGAAAGACTATCCAAGACTATCCTATCTCTAAACCAGCTTATGACAAAATTGTTAGAGCTCCACGTCGCAAAGGTCCTTCCCTCCGTTTCAGTTTGAATACCTGCCATTTCTTTTTCACCAAATGAGCCAAAATTTCACTGAGAAAGAGCATCCAATTGTTTACAAAGCTGGTAAAACTGCCCCATTTCAAGAAAAGCCCTTTAATAGATTCAAGTCAAGCTCTCATTTAGACTAAACATTATTAAAATGGCTGCCAATTTTCCTTTCTTCTAGTTCTACTGATAAGCTAGCCCAGAACTGTTAACTTTGAGACATGTTTCCAAGATGGTAGAGCTAAGAACAAGGAAATAAGGACAGATAGGTCACTTTTTGTAATGACACACAAATTAAATTTTCAAAACATGTGCATAGCTTTATTCATCTACTTAGGTCTAACCTTTTCACGGAGCTTCGGCAAAATTTGAGTGTGCAAAATGCATTTCTAAAACGTAATGCAAGCAAAGCTTTTCACATTTACACTGGCAGGAAATACAGAGAAACTAACAAGTCACATTAGGGAGAGTTCATCTTTTTTAATAACAAGAATTGCACAGTTTATTATTTTGAGACAATTGTTGCAGACATAAATATTTAAAATTTTCTAAGCAAGGTGCTTTAACAATAAAAATTTTAAAGTTGGAAAGAGCCAATAACTTGGATCTAAGATCACAGAATCCCGAATTATCATGGACTCCATATCTCCCTGTATTTTGAAACAATGCTTTTAGTAATACTTTTTATAACACTAAAGCAAGCTGAATCTTTTTTTCAAAGCACACAAGAAATGGTACTTGAAGGTGCTACGGGTGGGGGAAGGAAAAGAAGTGAAGAATCCTTTTACTATTATTTCCCACTACAAAACAGCCACTAACAGACTTAAAAAAAAAAAAAAGGAAGAAAAAAAAAAACCAAAAATAGTTTCCCCAGTTTACAAAATAGTTCCAGTTTGACAAGATCTGTAACTTTAAACAGAGAGCACCAGTTGGGCAATAGGACGAGCATTTCATACTGCATAAAAATTAGTGAGGTGTTAAGAACCATCAACTGTCTCAGGCATTACTACATGGCCTTTTCAAAAATTTTAAATATACATGCAAGGCACATTGATATAAAAATAGATCTCTGGCCAACAAACATATTAAATAAGCAAATAAAAATTTTGGCTCTACAATATTGGCAACATCAAAATATAACCAGATAGCTTTGGACCACACATCTTTTCACATTCCTCCACCTCATTTGGTGTTTTCCCCCATTATTTTGGGTCCCATCTCCTTCAAGTCTGAGTATGTGCTTGAGAAATGACTTTTCCTTTTGTCAAGTAGCATTCCTTCTACAGTTTACCCTTGCTAAGTAAAAATACACCAGAGAAACAGGATAGTTGGGAGTTTTGACCGACTTAACTAAATTTGCTGGTTCAGGACAGTATTTCTCCTTGGTATACAAACAAAAATAAATCCCAGCTTACATAGTAGACAATGGTTTTCTAAAAGATCAGCAACAAACCAACAACACTACTTCCATTAAGCCACTCTTCCCATTTTCTCTTTTTCAGGCAGAGAGAGGGAACAATAAAAACAAAGCTAAGATTTAAAATATTTTCAGCAGTAGAAGACATTTTAAGGCCAAAAAGTGTAATACTAAACAGAACTTTTATTTTCCTAAGTTATTGTCATTCATAGGCCAATACCAACTATGGATTAATTCCTGGTACTGATTCCCTCCCACAGAGAATTATAAAATTCAAACACTTTTGTTAGTGGCTGTGCTACAGAAAAAGTATCAAAGCAACCTACGGTATATGTACGATATATAGTAATGTAAAAAGTGCATCACATTCTTGATTTTCAGTTTCTCATAGCAGCAGCAGAATTAATCTAAGACAGAAAACAGTTGTTTTCATTCTAAAAATGCAAAATCTAATGAAATGTATTCAAGATCATGAAAAGATCCTCCTCTACAGAGGATAAATGAAAACAGACAAACAAAAGCAAACTAAGCCATTCATTCATATTTACACATTAAAACTTTTGTTAACACCAAACTTTTACATCTAGCAAAAGAAATAATGCATTTTAATAAAACAGACATTACTAAAGCAGTATCCATTTTGGAGCCTTTGTATATTAGCACCTGAGGAAAAAAGGGCATATATGGAAAGCTACTTAATTTACCTCAAATTGGTTTGTTGGTCTGTAGAGTACAACTTTGATATACAGTGAAAGCACTACTGAGCTGAAAAATAAAATCTTGCAGATAATTTTAGTAAGGCTATAGAAAAAGGATACTGCAGTATTATAAAATGGCTTTCAAACTCTGGACTTAACAAAACTTTATGAATAGGAAAGTCTGAATCAACACTCTCATCACACATAAGAATGGCTGTTCCAGTTTCTAGCTCCTAACTGACTGCTACCATGTTTGACTTTCCCAGTAATGCAAATGCAATATACCATTCGTGCTTCACTGGGTGTTTTATTATGGAGATAAGTAAAATTTCTATTGTTACTATTGCTGACATCCTTTCTATTTTTAAGACATTTCTTGAGCAGCAAAACTGTGAAAATTAAAACTCAGTAAATAAAGCAGTGATTTTGAGTGGAGCAGATGATTCATCATTCTTTAAATCAACCCAATGTGGTGGTCCTGGTTCCTAACTCTGAATAGACTGATGTCAAACAAAACAAAACAACTTGACATACTGAAAGCAGAAGCCCATCTTTTTCACCATAAACAAATGCTGACACGGTCAACTAACAAAAATAACATCAATTTTAAGAACTAATGTTGACCTATGGCCCCAGCAAACTTAGAGCAGCTATTTGTACTTCTACTCTTGTCCTCTGACCCTTCTTTTCAAATTACTAGTTGGGGTTGGGGGTAAGTAAATCCTACTCTCCTTCCTTTAAAATTCAATAGTTTAAGTTTCGGACACAGCTATTACGACACTTTCCTACCAGAAATCTTCTTTGACTGGTACAGCATCAATAGGCCTTACAAAAACTATTGCCCATTGCCCTTATTCCCCTACAGTGTATCACTTTTGCAGTTAGCATATGTAAGAGCGATTCGTATGCTTAACTATACCCTAATCCTTGGAGTTCAACATTTAACCTATTTCTCTGGAGGAAGCTTTATCACTCCTTATTTGGTAGAACTTAAAAAATTGAGTAGTCTTTTAATTTCCTTGCCTGTGACCATTTGGTATGTGGCATATAATTTCACTAAATGGCTTTGTGTGTTGTGTAGAAACTCACAATGATTACAAAAGAAATCATTAAGATATGTTCTGATGTGGACTAGTAACAACTCTTAAAAACCAAGTATTACTGCTGCTATGCTATATTCTGTGAAAACACCTTTCATAATGTGGACAACTCCTATAGTTGAGGTCTGTCATATTTTTCGTAAAATTGAGAAAACAATGCAGCAGGTTTTTTCCTTTATAAAAAAGTTTTTGCAGATTCTGAGTGATGACTGACTAGATAAGCAGATTAAGGACAGCCAAACTATAAAATGGAGAAACTCTCTGGGCTTTTGAGGAGGGAGAAAACTATCATTAGCAAATTTCTTGTTGTTGGCTAATCCCCTCACAGAAAAATGAGGAGGGAGGGTTACTACAGATGCTGTAAATACACTTTATGTTAAGGTTCATGACTAAGGAGGCTAGAGGAAAGGCTATGCAATTAACTTCAGTTCAGCAAAGTGGGGGTAAATAAAGAGAAAGATAAATACACCCTGTCTTTTGTGGGGGAGGGATTATTCAAGATATTTATACAAGAGTGGTATGTGACACAAAAGCCTACAATCAAGACAAATTTTAAAAAGAAATCTTCACCCATAATTAGTATCTTCATAGCTATTAAAAAAATAGGTCATGATTTCATTCTTAGTGCCATATTTCAAATACTACCCTTTTAAGGATTTAAACCACCTGACTTTATTCTGTGTAATGAAAACAAATGGCACAAAATAAATACAAGTTTCATTCTCTGAATACTAATATAATGTCTTACACACATTCGTTTACTAATTTTTAATATCTCCATCCTTCCCAAACATACACAACACCCAGTGTACACACACACCCACACACACCCCTTTTCAGTCTTTTTAATGGAGGGATGTTAAAAATCCCCTCTAGACTGTATTTGGTTTATGCTACAGTACTAATACTCTGAGTTGAAGAAAAATTCTTTATACTGAACAATAACACATTGTTATTTGAATGTGCTAAATTAATCACAGCTGAAGTTTGTTTAGAAGCTTACACAAAAATAATCAGAAAACAGATCAACTCTTAAGATTTTTTAATAAGTGCTCTGTAAGGAATTGTGTGAGGACCTAAGGAGAAAGACTGCGACAAGGAGAGTTAATTAAGTATAACCAAACAGCACAAAGGAGATCTGTCCCAAAGTCCTGCTTGTACCTAGGCAATTAAATCCATTAACCCAATGCCCCCAAAATACTGACAGTTAATATGATGGGGCACTAGGGTTCCCAGAAAGTTAAGAGACATTCCTAACTACTATATATCTCTAACCATATAATCAAGAAAATTTCAGTGGAGAAATCAAAGTGAAATGTTGCATTGTTTCATTTAGAAGACTCAAAAAACCTTTGGAAGAACAGAGAAGGGATACATTCTTTTTAGCTTCTCTGAACGGAGGCCTGAGGGATATGGAGGGGAAATTAAGAAAGGCTTTTGAAAGGTGTAAGTTAAGTGTTGCTTCTAAAATAAGCCCAATTCAGATGGGGACTGGGTTTATTTTCCTTTTTTGAATATATGCTCATTTGACCTCTGTATGTCACAAACCCAGAAGTTTCTCACGAGTTATGACACAGAAGAAATTTAAAATTTCAGGCAAGCAAAATGGACATTTAAAAGGGGGAATGGGTGGGGATACGGCCCTAAGGCGACAAGTGGTTACACAAGGCAATTGAACACACAGCAGAACTTTAAAACCTGTAAAACAAACTGGAGCCTTTTTTTCCCCTTGAATCAACTTTATCTTTTTTTGTAACTTTTTGAAAATTTTTATTCAAAAGAACACAAAAACACAGACTTTTCACTTCAGTATGTGGTTATGTTGCATTTTCCAGTTTGTTCAATGCTTTAAAGCTCAAGGATACCTCTGCTTTCAATTGTACATGGGCCTGAAGCATCCTAGCTTTTGGCAAGCAGGCAGGAGACTCAACAAAAATCAAAATAGGAACAAGGCAGACTAAATGCAGGGCACATCTGTAAACATATTATACATTTGAAAATTACAATTATCAGTAAAAGTGATACAGTTTACAGGTGAAATGAAACTATCTGGAACTGGCCTACCACAAGTTTCTGAACCTGGACTGATACAATAAGTTATTTTATATATATATATATATATTATGTATAAAAAAGTTTTGTTTACATCAAGTGGAATTGGCAATCCATGCTTATACTTCTTAAAAAATCTAAGCAGGGCAGAAATCCGGACTAAAAAGATATTTGCTCTACTCTTGACATTGAGCCCAACCGCTTCTTTCATGGACCATGTTAAAAGTCTCAATGAACAGAACAAGAAAACCCGTTCATACTATAGTTGCTCAAAACTGGACATTTCTTAAGCAAAGGATAGAGCAAAATTAGTAGTTACTTTCTCCCCAAATATCCCCAGGGGATCCAGTCTACTTTTGTAAGACTATGACTATATAAATGCCCCGCTATTTCAACCTGTATTTGACATACATGGATATACTAATTTCTGTGTAGGTGTGTGTTGTGTGTGATGCTATGTCAGGCCAGAGAACTTGTTCTTATGCCACTAACATCACCCAATCTTAAATTGGACCCTTAGTTTCTTCACACACACAAAAAGTTTATTTTAGCATGCTATACACAAGCTGCAGTGCAACAGGATGGCAATGTGATAAGACAGGGCTAATGCTCTTCTTTGCCCAAAACAAAATTTCCAGAATTTCACATTATTTTCCCTAAAAATCCATTTTGCCTTAGTAATAAAATATATTTATTAAGGTATAATTAGAAGCTAGCAAGCTCAGAAATATAATTTGCATGAAAACACACCTCCTATCAGCAGGGTTCATTAACGCCTCACTGGCTAAAAACATAAGTTTTAATTCTCATGGGCTTTTTCCTTCCCCTTTTAGATTTTGCTGAGAAATTAAAGAGAATTTACAGAAAGGTACATACATTTCTCTTTGATGTTTGATGAAAATGAGAAAAAACTGCACATTTAGTGTTAGTGACAGAGAGCAAGTCTGGAGCACCTACAGTTGAAAAGCAGAATATATTTTTGCTCCCAGTTATACAATTACATTAAAATATGGGCACAAGAATTTGTTCCATATCTAAGCCAATTGCTTGTTCTGCAACTTTTCTTTAATATTCATGGATTCTTCGGTTGTTAAAAGTACAACATGTAACCAAAGCAAGTTAACTATGTACCCACCAACTATTCCAGAATTGTAGAACTTCAAGGCCCTCCCCTATTCCCACCCCACAAAAAAATGAAAGGAAAGAAAATATTTTCCCAACACCCCACAGAGGCTGCTTAACTCCTGGCAAGACATGCAAATCATATTCACTAAAAAAATACACCCCTGCAAACTTCAAGGCATTTATCCAGCATTCTCGCAGGGCTTAAAGTAAAACCAAAATATCAAGGGAGCGGAGGAAAATGTTGAATCATTCTGGGTTCCCCGTGATTAGTGTATCACTTTAGTCACAGAACAAGATACAGAGATCTTTTAAGTGGATTTGCCTCTTTCACTGGGTCATTTGTTGCCCAAGGTGATGACAGCAGGAACTTTAGAACCACACTTGTTTAAGTCTGTATTCATTAATCATTTGCATTCACACTTAAAAACAAAAACTAACGAAAGGAAAAACAAAAACAAAAAACTATTCAGTACCGGAGATTAAATAACCATGTGTAGTCTCTTGAAATAAATTTGATTCCTTAAGAAGTCTAATTACTTTCAGTTGCCTTTTTTAAATAACTATATATATATATGTATATATATATATTTGTATATATTATCCTGTGATTCTACTTATGGTTCCTCTGCTGCATTGAAGATCTAGGAGCATAAAAGCCTTGTGTCCCTCATGAACGGTGGCTCTAATGCTGCAGAAAAGTTATGAATAGGCAGTCTGGTCCTTCATTGATCTGGACTATCCATGGCTTCATTGTAAGTGATTATCCTTTTGGGATCTAGAGAAAAGGTTAAAATAAATAAAAATAAGGCCTGGAATCCTAAAACACCTGTGATCCAAAAAGCAATTCCAAGTAGCTGTCCTCTTTCTTATTATAAGACAGTTCAATATCCACGTTTCCTTTGTATCAAATACCAAGTGTGATCTAGTCTCCCAACTCAAAAGTATTTGTTTGGCACTACAACAGATTCCCATCAACAAGATCTTCTAGCCAGCAAGGGCCTCAAATCCTACACAGAGTAGCAATGGATGAGTTTATTTAATTTTAATCAGTGTACCATTCAGCAAGGAATGGTTCAAGTAAAATCTAGCATCAAGCACTTTAGGTTAAAGTAGTTTGGCACAACCAATTTAATCCTTATCATGATCCAGTTAATTCCTTCTTTTCACTTTATTCTTAACAGAATCAAAAAGCATGTGCAAAAGGCCCCAAGTTCTATCCCTAGCATCATATCAAAAATAAAATCAAAATAAATGAATTCTATGGATTTTCTGAGTTCAAAATGTAAAATGGAATGTGACTAGACAAAGACTACAGAGCTACTTTAAATTCCTGTTACTCTAGAGCCTGAGGCAGGAGAACTGCAAATTCAAGCCCTGCCAGGGGAATTTAGGAGATCTGCATTTCCCACAAAAAGAGGGATGGAGCACTGCACAGGTATGCAGTGTAAAAAGACTGTAGTTTCAACCCCCAATATCACAAAACAAAACAAAACGGGGCTGGGAGAGATGAAGAAAGAACAATGTTAGGAAACAGGCAAACCTACATAGTAGCCCACCTGATTTATATAGTAACCTCTGGGGGTCTCATTTCTCTAATATGTAAAATAACATGTATGGGGATTTTATTTTGCCATGCTAGGGATTGAAACCAAGGCCTGAGAATGTTAACCATGCACTACTACTGAGCTATACCTTCTGGCTTCTTGTTTTACTTTCATAATTACAATGGCAAACCCATTCATGTTCTTTCCCAGCAGATAAAAGACTATTTTTCATATATTCTTTTGAATTAGTGTTTCCCAATCCTAAGAAGTCCTAGCCCTGAACCTAGGGCCTTTTGACTGCAGTTAATAAGTAACACAAAAACAATGTAAAATGCTTACTGACTGATTAGTACATTTTAATTAATCTAACCATTCTTACCTTGTTTCTGCAAATTCCAAATGGATTCCATTTCTACAAAAAATAAAAAAGGATTATTTTACAAGTTTTCAGGAAACAAAAATGCTTTTCTCATGGCTCACTGCTATTTAAAAACAAATAAAAAATTCCCACAAGTACTTCTTGGTAACCCAGCATTTTTCAGTGAGGTGCCCAAATCTTTTTGAATGAAGCATTTGTCAAATTTGATCAATTACATTTAAAACTTAATAGTTTAAACACACAGGCAAGTGATCTCTGACCTCTAAATCATACCTCTCTTACTTTCACTCATAAAGTAAAAAATGCCGATTCATACCATTTATTAATGACACACTCATTTGCTCTAGTTTTACTTAAAACACCTACAATGTACTTACTATAGCATCTTACAATAAAGGAAATATATATGTAATCAAACTATAGTGATATACAGAGTGGAGGCAGCAAGAACTCTACATAAGGGAACTCTACATAAGAAAGCCTCATAAGGGATATGTGAAGTCTTGACAGGTACAGAGTAAATCACTATTACATAGAAGGAATCAAAAAATTAGACCTTTAAAGGAAATACTATACTAGATTTAGTCAGTGAAAAGAATAAAGTAAAACCAAAAGTGAGGATAAGTACATTTTTCATGGCCATATACCTATCATTTTAAAAGGATGGAAAGATTATTTTATTCTCACTGGATTTTGTGTAATTCTCATCAAATTTATCAGCAACCAAATATAAAACAAGCCCACGAAGATGGAACATATCTGTACATGGGTTATAGTTAAGGGACAACATAATCCCTCCCTAGGAATAAAACAAATTAAGTGTATAGACCTAAAAGTACAAACCAAATCTGGGGGAAAATGTACCAACTATCACTTGACAATGCTTAGTTACAGGCCGATGGCATTTAACTCTCTGCACAGATCCTTATCCAAAGATAAGCAGAAAAATTACCTTCTCTTTAGGACTGAAAGGGGAAGAAGGAAACTGTAATCTGTTTAATCTGGAAAAATAAGACATCAGGAAATTCTATCACTCCAATACTATTCCTAACTTCATTAGTTTTGTACAATGAGAAATAGGTGAAAACAGTCTATCTTTAAGAGCTGTTACCCTATAAATTTCAACTCAAAATGGCCCTGCCTCTAAGCGGGGAGAGCTTTGGAGCTGACCTCAGGGCCTTCAGACCAAGCTATATCCTTCAGCCCTTTTATTTTTCATTGATAGGATCTCACTAACTTGCTGGATCCTTCTGCCTCTGCCTTCCACAGTGCCGAGAGTACAGGCATGAGACACCAAACAATGGCCTATTTTAAGAATCCAAACATAAACTTTGTCTTAGTTGACCTCACTGCAAAAAAATAACTATTATTTTTTCTTTTAGTCAAAATACATAAATTTCAGTTTATACCAAATAAATTCCTGATGTTTTGTATATGCCAATTACTCAATACTTATTTTTGGTTCGCTTTATATAAAGGTAAATCTGTACTTAGCAATATGTTGAGAAAAAGTTAATTGAACTCTTCATTTCAGCTTTTCTATGCTGTAAACACTTCCTTTTCTATACCCAAGAGTGGGTATAGAGGAGGAAGGATGTACCCGAGCCATAGTAAGGGGCTGGTGGGGTATATAGCTCAATGGTAGTGTTTGCCTGGTAAAATGTTCTAGGTTGGAGCCCCAATATTGTGGGGGTGGGGTGTATGGATCACAGTAACAACCATACCTGTAGTGCTCTCAAAACATACAAATTCTTAAAGACAACAAAAATGGAGGTATTTTTAGTACGTTAAAGATATTTCCTTACCTTAAGGTGTATCACCAAATCTAAGGTTTTACCCAAATGCAACGGATATTTATGTGTATATATATATATGTATGTATTTGAGACAGGGTCTTATTATATAGTTCAGGCTGGCCTCAAACTCATGGCAATCCTCCAGCCTCATCTCCCAAATGATGGGATTACAGCCATGCGTCACCATGCCCAGCTACGGATTTTTCCATGATTTAGGTAAGAAAATGTTATTACCCTCAAATGTGGGCTCTGGAATAGTGAATTTGATCATGACTTTGATGATGGGGGAAAAGCAGTAAAATAGAAAAAACTAACCATGTGTCAGTATAGCTCCTAACCAAGTAATAAACTGAGTGGAGAAATGAACACAAATTTCCCTTCCTTGTTATTTAATATAATTCCTATGACTACTGGCAACTTTCCTTTATAAAAAAACATTTTTGCAGCACCAGGGATGGAACTCAAGGTTGCTGCATGCTAGGCAAGTGCTCTACCAAAAATCTACCTTTCCAGCCCTTCTTTATAAGAATTTAAATTTCCCTGAAATGCAAACAAGGTTAAATTAAAAAAAGGAAGGGGAACAAAAATCAAATATCGTTCGATTATATGCCATGCTTAAACCTTACTAACAAGAATATTAACAGTAGTAAGAAAATAAAGAAGAGCATTGGTCTGCCTGCTTAGGTTACAAGTCTCTTCTCATTGTGAATATGAAGTACATTACTGTGTGTAACATGTTTTAACTACCTCATAAAAGCTAAACAATAGTACAAGGTTTCAGAATGTACTTTTAAGGATTAAAAAAATTATTATATAGTAATTCATCTTTTAAAACTACCCTCTTCACACACTTGTAAGTCAAATCTTTAACTTGCCAGTTCTTTTTTGAAGAAGGATCACAACATCCAATTACAGTTTCTGTAAAATACCCAGAGGACCAAAGCAGGTAATGTTAAGTAAAAGTTTCTTCTGCAGGTAAAATTTATCAAAAGTAGGCAATTTTGCTAAAATTTTGTAATTTAGACCTCCACCATCCAGTATGAAATTTTTCTAGTTCAAATTTCTAGGGCTAGGCATGGTGGCACACAGGCAGAATCCACCTATTTGGGAGCTGAAGATAAAGAGGATTTGAAGGCCAGTTTTAGATATTTTATGGGACCCTGTCTTAAAAACATGTAAGTGCTGAGGAGTCTATATGCGGTGGGTACAGCAACTTGTCTACCATGCTTGCATTGGAGCTACATCCCCACCCCATTTTTACTTTTTGAGACAGGGTCTTGCTAAGTCGCCCAAGTGGGACTTAAACTAGCACACCTTCTACCTTGGCTTCCCAGAACACTGAGATTACAAGGGTGTCTTACCCATCATGTCCAGCTTCCCAAGACTTTTTTTTTTTTTTTTT